TCTCGCCAACCCGGACATTGTGGAACACTATTCAGAGAACGTCGTCGATACCCTGCACAAAAAGAATCTTCTGCTTCTGGGAGAGGATCGATACCTCACGACGCTCATGCTGAAGACGTTCCCGAAGCGCAAAAATGTGTTCTGCCCTTCGGCCGTGTGCAAGACTGTCGTCCCGGACACCTTCCGCATTCTCCTTTCACAACGTCGTCGCTGGATCAACTCGACCGTCCATAACCTTTTTGAACTACTCCTCGTCCGCGACCTTTGTGGTACCTTCTGCTTCTCTATGCAGTTCGTCGTCGGTATGGAGTTGGCGGGCACTTTGGTGCTTCCAGCCGCTATTTCGTTCACCCTCTACCTCATTATCTCTGCCATCATCCCCGGAGGCACGAACGTCACCATTCCTCTCGTCCTCCTCGCCATCGTTCTGGGTCTCCCTGGTCTGCTTATCGTCATTACTACCCGCAAGATCTCATATGTCGGCTGGATGTTGGTCTACCTCCTTTCACTCCCCATTTGGAACGGTGTCCTCCCTGCGTACTCTTTCTGGCACTTCGACGACTTCTCGTGGGGCCAGACGCGTAAGGTAGCCGGCGACAAAGGTGGTGACCACGGAGACAAGGAAGGAGAGTTTGACTCGACGCATATCGTCATGAAGCGCTGGGCCGAGTTCGAGCGAGAGAGACGTTGGAAGAGCGGGACGCAGTCGCGCGATTCGGCATACTATGACCCCAAATCCAACTCACCTAAACGGTATGTATCATGCAGTCGTGCGCGAGATCGCCTGCTAACGCTATACTCTGATGCATAGATACTCCCTGGTGTCAAACACAGACACCGGTGCCACTCCCTCGGGTCACGATGGTGGAAGCACGTCGGATTCGCATGGCTACAACGCGAACAACATGCCTCGTTCACGTCATGACAGTAACCAACTACTCAGCCTCCCAATGCCATTGGGCGTCAACCGCCCTCCAACCAGCGGCGGAGCGTCAGCGTCGTCGGTTGCTCGGTCCAGCGATGAGGTGTATGGTTCCGACGCGTCGTCTGCTCACCAACGTCTCGTCTCTCCGACGTCTCCCGATTTCTACTCGAACGAAGACTCGGTTTACAGCCCCCAAGCGTCACCCGCATCCCGCTATGGTCACCAGAACTCTGTCGAAACGCAGTTCTCGCGCACGGCGGCGAACAGCAACGCGGTATTGCGACACGGGTCAGCATCGAACCAGTACCCAGGCGAGACGCAGAACGTGTTCCCCACACCGCAGGCCATGTTCTCGGACCACGTGGGCTACAGTACTGAGCCAGAAGAGTTATCTCCCTCTATGGCTACCCCACCGTCTGCTGCATCACGAGCTTCCGGGCGTGGCATAAGCCTTTCCGACGCAGGACCCGTCCCAGGCCCCGATGGCGTTCGTCGCGTCGCGCGGCCGTCCGCTCGCAGACCAAGCTCGCAGACGCCGCAGCAAAACCGATACTCACGTACGTCGATGCACGGGGGGTTGCCACCGGGCGCCGCACCACCGAGCACGAACAACTACGGTGGCGGGGGATACAGCTGAACGGCGGATCTTCGCCGACTGCTTGCTCGTGGTAATGCGCACGGACATGACATTTTCGCTGTACGATGTTTTGTTTGCACTTTCAATCCATGGACAATATCTCTCTTTTCCTTGCCGTTGACTCCTATCGACTTTCGCGACTAATGTCCCACCGACGATCTTCACGTCTTATACATAGTTTCCTTCTTCACATCCGCTTCTACCCTTTCTTCTGGATGGTCTGCACGCATTAATAGACTTTTCAGATATGGACGCCGATCGCTACACTTACGATCCCCCCTGGCTTTTTTCTACGTTTCTTTCCCTTGTCTGGTTCTGTTCCTTGGGGGTGGTGGGGTGGGTTGCATCTACGCGGTGGGGGACACTGAGGAACCGTTTAGTGACCAAATAGCGCCCCTTCCGTCTATCATTACGCTAACGTTGATGTGACCCGGCTTTTTGCAGAAGTTGCTACGCCGGTTCTTGACGCTCTCGAATAGGTGCATACAATATGATCCCTTCTACGCGATCGTCGAGTTGGAGGCCTCGAGCGTATTACTGGACATCTGAGTCTCTCACACGTTTTCTTTTTTGGGTTCATTGTCGTGTAAGTTTTGTGGGCCTTGCTTCGCACACAAATATTGGCTCAGATACGGACCTGCTGATCAGTACCCATGCATGTCGAGCCTGATACCACAAAGGTTCAAACGCCCACTGGCAAGTTGCAAGTTGCAAGTTGCCTCGCCAATGAGTTCACTTCGCGGCCCGAGGGCGCTCCGGACAACCTTCTGAATTCGAGCCTCCGGTTGTGTCTGACGCGTCTTGCCCCAACCCTTCACGTCTCTTCCACACATCTCCTGTATAGTAGCCACCGGCGCGTTTCTGTTCAGAATACGTCTCCGGGACTATCATGGCCAACACTCAAACGCTCCGTTTTCGTCGTCCGATAAAAGAAGGGGAGAACGAGTTCGCCCCCACCCCTCCCAAGCTTAGACATACGGGTATTCTCCAAGACCAACTTCGGAGGTGCGTGACACTGTGTACCGCAACCATTCAGGGCGCTGAGAAGGGATGGTATAGGGCCGCGAAACCGCCGTGGACGCCCAGTTTTTCGACGGCGGTGAAGATTCTGCTCCTCGTCCGTGTCAGCGCCGCGATGTACTCGAATATACAGGACTGTGATGAAGGTGCGTGGCAAAGCACGGAATCATGCGCGCTGTAACCGATCTATTATCTAGTGTTCAACTTTTGGGAACCTCTACACTACCTCGACAGAGGGTATGGTTTCCAGACGTGGGAGACCTCGCCGGTGTACGCCATCCGGAGCTGGGCGTATCTTCTGCTGCATTACATCCCTGTGAAATTCCTCGATTGGACCATCCGTGAAAATAGCAAGGTGCGTGTGCTCCCTGTCGTCCGCTGTCCGACAACGAGGTTGAAACTCGAGCGAAGCGTGCGGCGTTCTTCTCTGTGCGCATATTTCTCGCCGTGATCTGCTCGCTCTGCGAGGCGAAGCTCTACGACACCGTCAAGGCCAAAATCAACAACCGTGTCGCGAGGTACATGTTGTTTATGCTGGCCGCCAGTGCGGGCATGTGGAACGCGTCCACCGGTGAGCCTACACGCTGCTTTTGTATGACTGTCACCGACGAAGCAACAGCTTTCTTACCGTCCACATTCGCTATGTACGCGACCACATTGGCGTGCTCGTACGCGTTCATTCCTCCGGCGAGCCGACTTGGACAGCGTACCCTTGCGGCGACTGTCTTGTTCGCCACGGGCGCGATCGTGGGCTGGCCCTTCGCCCTGGCTATCGCTACCCCGTTCGTTTTCGAGGAGTTGTTCCAGTTCGGCGGCGACCGCGTCCCCGCGAATGAAAAACAGCGTTGGATGACCAGCCGCTGGACGCGCTTGTTCGCGGCCGGCGCGACGGCCAGCCTCGTCACTGTACGCTCTTTCCTTGCCATTGGCCGGTCTATCTCATGCTCATCTGTCTCGTAGATTCCAGCTGTCCTCGTCGACTCGTATTTCTATGGACGGCCGGCCCTCGTGCCTTGGAACATCGTCAAGTACAACGTTTTCCCCGACGCCGCGCGTGGACCTGGCCTGTACGGCACGGAGCCGTGGTACTTTTACATCCTGAACCTCCTCCTCAACTTCAATATCCTCACGCCACTCGCGTTAATCTCCCTGCCTGCCCTCTTCGTGACCTACAAGTTCGACCGAAAGCGGTTGGGGACGAACCTGCTCTCTTCAGAAGAAGCTTCCCCTTTCACGCTCTTGGGGATGCGACTTCTCCCGTTGTACGTGTGGATGGGCATTCTCACACTGCAGGCGCACAAGGAGGAGCGCTTCATGTTTCCGGTGTATCCTTTGATTTGCTTCAATGCGGCGGTGACGACTTTCTTGGTCCGGGGATGGCTCGAGGTGGTGTATATCAAATCCACGCATTCGCCGTATCAGGTCAGTTCCACTCTCACTCGCATCTCATACTATCGCTGAGCGCATGTACACATCCAGGCCTCGAAATCGTCCATCTTCCGACTCTCGACCCTTGCCATCGTTGCGTTCGCCTCTGTCATATCGTCCGCGCGCATCGCGGCCCTGTGGAACTACTACCACACGCCGATGACGATCGCGTACCGCTTCGAGGGAGACGAGCTCCCGCTTCTGCTTAATGCGACAGGGTTGCTCTCTAAACCCCTCCCCCCGCCGGAGGTCCTGGCGCACAGAAAGGCGAACGGCCCAGACAAGAAGGAAGAAGACGACGAAGAGCGCATGGATCTCGGACCCATAAAGGAATTCGACCTCAGGTTGTGTTTGGGCAAGGAGTGGTACCGCTTCCCGGGACACTACCTCGTGCCCGACGGCATACGCGTCGACTGGATCAAGAGCGAGTTCGATGGACAGCTGCCCGCGCACTTTAAGGAGACCAAGGGAGATGTGCGGTCGAGGGTCGCGGGGACGCGGAACGTCCCATCTGGATTGAACGACTTGAACCAGGAAGAGCCCATGCACTATGTGAGCTTTTTTTGTCATGCAGTGGGGTGGGCGGTAACTGACGCTGTTTGCCCAGGTGGACGTCGCGCAGTGCGACTACCTCATCGACCTCGACTTCCCGCAGCATCCCGCGATTTCCACGCACGAGCCGCGCTACGCCGTAGACGCGCAGACGTGGGAGCGCACGATATGCCTGCCTTTCCTGGACGCCGCCCACTCGCCGCTGCTCACGCGCACGCTCTGGTTCCCGGGACAAGCGTGGCAAGCCGGTAACGTGTACGGAGACTACTGTCTTTTGAAGAACCGAGCGTCTGTGGAGGAGAAGGTGCGGAGGGTGAAGGAGAAAGTGGCGGGGTTGTCCAGCTGAAGGTCTCGAGGGCGGTAATTTATGGATGTATTCTTGTACTGATCCCTGAGTGTGCGAGTGGCTGTATTTATATAATGTGGGAAAAGATACAAGCCAAGATGGCCGAGCGGTCTAAGGCGCCAGACTAAGGATCTGGTCCGAAAGGGCGTGGGTTCGAATCCCACTCTCGTCAATAAATTTTGATACCGTGTACATTGCATTCTTTTTCTACTACAAGTACACTGTAATATGTCAAATTCAATGTAGTAATGTACAGTTACACTGTAACTGTAAGTCTGTACAAGTTACACTTACAAGTTACCCACAAGTTTACAACTGTCAACAAGTCTAAAACTGAAAGACTCTAGTGTCACTCGATGTCTACATCCACTTAGTCATTATAGCCTCAGGCCTTTGGTCATCGAAGGACCACGGTCGCCCTCTGAAGTCAGACCTCGGTAACAGGTTTATTGTTCATGTGTGGAATGAGACGAGGCTGACGCTGCCGAGGATGTGTGCAGTCAAGTTGTGTTGGGGGGCCTGCAGAAGCGAAGTACATACAATGCGACAAGTTACTTGTTTAATTACACGACAGAGACAAAGGGCGCGAAAGCAAGCCTACAGCAACGACTCCCCGATGGTGAAATGGACGTGGTCTCCTTCTCCCAGTGTGAGGCGTACGGGCAGCCGTGGATCGATGCGAACGGGTGCGCTGGAGCCGACGTAAAAGTCACCGCGGCTGAAGTTGCGGATGGCGGCGGTCTCCTCCTCGGTGAGCGGACGGGGGCGCTTTTGTGGACGGAAGGTGGAGGTGGACGCGCCGGTGTAGGTGCCGTCGTACTGGTAGTATTGTTGGTGGGAGATGCTGGGAGAGGGGGAGTCGTAAGGCATGGGGAGAGGCGGGGGCGGGGGCGGGGGGAGGAAGGCGACGCCGGGAGGAAAAGAAGGAGCTACGCACGTCGAGGGGGTCTCAGGGGTGTGCATGGGGATGAAGGTCATCATGGAGGACACACCGGGTGTCTGCTGTTGGGTGTGGTCCATGGCGTCGGGGTCGGGGTAGGCGCAGGTGGCGCCGAGGCCGCGCTTTAGGCAGCTCTGCGCGCGTGCGGAGCGGGATCAGGGTCACGACGAGGACGATGACGACGGGTGTTTGGAGTGGGTGCGTTTGATGATTATTTTTGTTCGCGTACCTGGCATGGGAGGACCTCGCTGCAGCGTGTCTTACCCGAGTGGCAGGCGGTGCAGGCGCGTCGAACGGCAGGAGCTTTGGCTGCGAGGGCAAAGAGTTAGAGGGGAAGACAAAGGAGTGCGGGGCGGGGAACAAAGAAAAGAAAAAAGGGAGGTACAAACGTTTACGAGAGGAGCCGTCGACGGAGAGGGCTTGTTGAGACTGAGGATCTTGCTGAAGGCCGGGCTGCTGAGGTTGGAGGTGTTGAGTGTCGACGGAGACGGCGTCGGCCGGATTATCGTCTAGAGCGGACATGGGCGGCGGGGAACGGGCGGGGGAGGATCGGAGAGCGGCGTCCTGGAGGCGTTGCGGACGGCGAGGGGACGGCGAGGGGACGGCCTGCCCACGGCCAGCCGTCGTTTTAGCCTTTTCTCCCTCGGCGCAATCTGCTCACGTAAGCGGGTCCCTCTTTCTTCTCCTCACTCCCACCCTTCCAAGTTCCAACTGCGCTCTCCGTTCCGTGCATGTCGGGACGATTTCCCGAGCGACTTTCTTCCAAGACGGAATGTAGGAGGGAGGGCTTGTTTAGCGTGGAGAGAGCGTGAAAATTGAGGGAGATTGGATTTGGGACCAAGAATAAATGGGATTTAGGGACCGAAATTGGGGGGAATGGCCGCTAGTTCGGGCCCTCGGAGGGGATTGTTCGGACCGGCGATTGGAAAGCCGATAGCCGGGGAGGGAGAGCAAAAGTCGGAAGTGATCAGACCAAGTGGACTCCGTCAAACTCGAGCGAACGCGAATATCGCATGCGAGCCGTCGCCCGTCGTCGTCCCAAGCATGGCCCAGAATCCTCCGCCGCCGCCGCCTTTTCACGACTTTGACTTTTCATTCGACCTCAGTCCCTCCCACTCTCTCCCCGCCCCGCCCCCGCTTCCCTCCTCCGCAGGCCTCTTCTCCCCCTCAGAAACAACCGATCTCCTCGGCTTTCTCGACAACTTCAGCTGGGAACTCGACGCAGATATCTTCGCCCCTCTCACAAATCATGATCCCAATCCAAACCCCCCCGTTCCCCCGCAACCCTTCACCCCTGCCCCCCTTCTCCCCCCCGACTCTCATCTCCCCCCGCTCACCACCCCCTCTCTCCCCTTCACCAACGGCTCTACCCCCACATCTTACCAACCCCAACCCCAACCTCCCCCCGCACCGGAGCCCACCTCCCCCACCTCCCCCGGTGGCTCCACCCTCCGAAACAAACCCCTGCTCTCCAGCCCCCAAAAACGCCTGAACCACATCATGTCCGAGCAGAAGCGCCGCAACGCTATTCGCGAGGGCTACGCTCAACTCACCACCCTTCTCGCCCCCGCAGGCGCGCCCCCCGGCTCCGGCATGCCCACCCGCGGTCGACCCAAGGGCAGCGGCAGTCGGGGCAAGGGCCGCACCAAGGGCAAGAGCGGCGTTCTCTTCCGCGCGGTCGAGTACATCCATTGGCTCGACGAGGAGCTCAGCGCGCTTCAGGAGGAGGTCCTACGCGTCGAAGCTCTCGCGGGCGTGCGTGGTGGCCCCTAGTGCCCGTTCGATTGTATCGTGAGTCGCCCGTGCACGTCCAGGAATGCGGATCTGACCGTCTTGAACTCACACAGCTGCTCCCTCCCCATCTCTCGACGTCTCGGAGTATACCCTTTACGTGTTTTCTTCCATCCAGACCCCTCCACCGCGAATACCGACGTGAACCTCGAGTATTGTTGTACATCTAACACCATACATTACGCTCCCCGTGTCCTCACTTATTCTGTAACTTTTTTCTCTGTATGTACCACAACCGCCATAAACATCTGACAAGTATCACATGTTTACGCCCACCGGCCATCACCCGCTAACGCCCCAACCCAACATCTCAACATTCCTCCAGGCCATAAATGTAAAGATAGAAAGAACAGGACAAGTCGTCGGTACTTGCAGGATCGCAGCGCCCCGCACTGAAGTACTGATGTCCCGCCATCTCCATGCCTCCGACCCCCACCCCGCCCGACTGGCCGATCCCCAAGCTCACGCTCCGCGTTGAGGACCTCGACCACCCCGGCGCGAAGCTCTTCTTCGACTCCGTCGACCCCACGCGCGTCCTGCACGACGCCGTCGCCGCCGTCTTCACCTGGCTGTACATCACGCGCGCCAACGCCCCCGACCAGTGCGTCTAATCTCCCCATCCACCTACCCACCCCACCCGTCCCATATCATGGACGCTTCCGTCGCCCCGACCGTTATGCAAACAAGCTTCACGGCCGCTGATTGGGTCGGCTTTCGTCGAGCAGTGTGGCCTCGATCGAACTCGTCCTGCGCCCGATGGACGGCGTCGCGCACTGCACCGGCACCCACACCGCGAAGGAGATCCACCTCTCCCTCCAACACGTCCTCAACTCCTCCGCCCGCGCCGCCGACGAGATTCGCGGCGTCCTCACCCACGAAACCGTCCACTGTTTCCAGCACAACGCCAACGGCACCTGTCCGGGCGGCTTGATCGAGGGCATCGCCGGTGCGTCCCTCTCCCTCGGGACTGTTATTCTCACACTATGTTGCCCGCCCCAAATCGTTGACGTCCTCCCTTCCCATCCCATCCTCTCCTCGACGTCGCACGCGGTGTGTGGCGGACGAAACAGACTACGTCCGTCTCCGCGCGGGCTTCGTCCCCCCGCACTGGACGCGCACCGGCGGCGCGCGCTGGGACGCGGGATACCAGACCACGGGCTACTTCCTCGGCTGGCTCGAGACGCGCTACGGCGACGGCACGGTCGCGGAACTCAACGCCGCGCTCAAGGACGTCGATTGGGACGAGCGCGTGTTCAAGGGCGTTACCGGGCGCAAGGTCGGGAAGCTGTGGAGGATGTATTGCGAGGAGCTCGAGGGGGGAGTGGTTATTTAGACTTCTGGAAGGATTGGGAGGCGGTATGTGCGTTTGTGGGTAGGTTGTGGATAATTCTAATGTAAGTGATAAACGAGACATGTACAGGTGTTATTAGGTTAGACTCGGTAGACAAAACCCCTTCCCCCTCCCTCGCTTTGCACTAACACGCCCCAGGCCAGAGATCCGAAAAGACGTAACATAACAACCACATAAAGATGAACTGAAGGATAAGATACAGTCGCGATCCACGGATGGGTACAGTACACACACACACACATTTCCAGCCGAGGTTAGGTGGAACCCCCGCGCAAAGCAGAACGAAAGGAAAATAAAAACCGACCTCCTCCTGCCCCTTCCCCGTCTACCCCATCTCTTCTTCTTCCTCCTCTTCCTCCTCCTCTAACGCCCCCGCTAAAAAGTCAAAGTCATCCGCCTCCGTCCCCGTCCCCTCTTCCTCCTCCTCCTCCTCCTCCCCACCCATCACAATATCCCCACCCATCGCCACGTCCGCGTCCGCGTCCGGGTCGTCCCCGTACGCCTCTTCTTGCGCCCGCGCGAGCGCAGGGGAGGACACGGACTCGCGGAGGCGCGAGGCGGTGCGCCGGTCCGCGACGAGCTTCTTCCGCTTGGAGAGCGGCGAGCGCAGGGCGTCGTCGCCGGGGACGGCGGCGGAGGGCGTGATGCTTCGGAGACGCTTGCGCTTCATGCGGCCGCGAGAGGGCGTGGTGGGGGTGCTGACGCTGTTGGCGTCCTTGTGTCAGTACCGTGGCACAGGGGCGAGGAAGGAAGGAAAAGACGTACCTCCCTACGCTGCTCGTCTCGTCCTCGCTCCGCTTCTCCCCGCTCGGCGCGAGGCGCTCGCTCTCCGCGCTCGAGCGCGCATCGTCCATGTCCTCCTCGTCGTCGCTGTCCCCCTCCGCCAGAAACGCCTCCAACTCCGCGTTCGCGTCCTCCCACGACACCTCGTCCAGTTTCACCGGCACTCCCCCCTCTCCCTCCGTCTCCGCATCTGCCCCCGCCTCCCCCACCGCCACCACCTCCAGATCCATCTCGCTCTCCTCGTCCCCGTCCTCCTCGTCCCCCGCCTCCCTTCTTACCCCCTCCTTCCCCTCCTTCCCGCCCCTCT